AATTTTTTTTACCAAAAAAACAAAAAAAAAAAAAAAAAGTTCCATAATGCATGCGCATTGCTTTCCTCTGCACATAAACAAGGCTCAGCACATGCGTGTTTTACATTAACAGCATCACGCGCATAAGTTGTTTATGTGTAGAGGTACTCTCGATAGGGCTGACACTTTTACAATATGCTAATGATAACAGTAAAGAGAAAGCAACGATCCAACCACATGTCGGCGCACGTGATTAACCGCTCACGTGTGACGCGCTCATATCGCTAGGTGCCATTCATACAGAATGCGCTTTTCTGTTGACAAAGATGTGACGAAGGCAGTGGAATAGGAAAAACATACAAGAAGATGGGCGTGAACTTCTTTTAACTTGAGTGCCGCATTTTTATAATGCCGTTTATTGCATGAGACGCTGCAAGAAATGCAAGTGCAACAGTCAAACGTGTCCATGTTTACACAGAAAAACAATTGAAAAGCAGCGCAAGCGAATAAAAAAACCTGTAACTTCTACTGTAGGTCTGATATTTCATGTTTGCATCATGGTGACAGGCTGACATGCTGTTGTTTTTATAGAACATTTATAGTTAATAATAGTACTGGTGTTATACCTTCAGTCATTTTGAATTTGAATTAACTTGACTTGAGATTTTTTTTAAGCATTAATAAGACAAGCTTTTACAAGATGTAGTTGTAGTTCATGCATCTTTTCTGCAAAGATACTTAAGTGATTTGTTTAACATTTACATCAAGTTGATAACAATGTGTGGTGCACTTGGAATATAATTTTCTTTAAATAGAGGGTTAAAGGGTTAGTTCACCCAAAAATGATGAATCAGACGAATCCAGTCGGAGTTATATTAAAAATTGTCTTTGATCTTTCATGCGGTTTCATGGCACTCAGCGGGTGTTGCATGCATCAGTCCAAAAGAAGTTAAATAAAAAGCGCCCATCCATAAAAAAAAGTGTCTCACATGGCTCCAGAGGGTGAACAAAGGCCTTCTGTAGCGAATCAATGCGTTTTTGTAAGAAAAATATCCATATTCAAAACGTAATAATCACTTTAATGTAGCTTGCGCTCACTGTTGTAAAGGGAAGCAGTTCCGGGCGGAAATACATACATATTGTACATATTGCAGTAACTCTGTTGTATTTACTCTCATTTGGGAATTGGATTAGGGTCAATTTTGGGCCATGGCTTTAAAAAAACAAACAAAAAAAAACTTATTTTGAGGTGTCCCTCTCTTGCTAGCCAACTCAGGGAGAATAAAACTGTGCAACATTAAACACAACCATACAAGCAGACATGTGTGGCATGCTTGAACAAAAATAGTTGTGAAAAGACTCCTAAATTATGAATTCTAAGAAAAGCTGGTGCACATTTAGATGCTGAGACTCGTGCCGGCAAGCAATGGCAGGAACGACAGCGAGACTGTAAAGACTGTAAGAGAGCACTGCATGTTATTAATATCAGTGAAGACGATCTCATATGGAGTGCCTAAATGAAGACGAGAGCTGCAGGCTGCAAGTTTCTGTATTGCATTTTACAGTCAACAAAACAGCTTTATTTAAGATGTCAAGAACAAAACATGGTTTACCAATTAGGCTCAACATTAATACAAACTAAGACCAAAAAAGCGATATACAAAGGGATGTGAAACACATTTATACCCTTGTATGAATATCATTCACTATTAACTTCCTTCTAAATGGATCTTACTACAAACACATGCCACCGTTCACCACCATTTGTCTACATAAACTAGACAATCTTTGCTCATTCTACAGAAAAAGATTAATCTTGTTGAGGAGCAGGAGCCTGATAAAACATTGCCAAACTATTCAAACGTTTTCAAATGCAGTTCATTCCTATTCCTGTTGTTTTAGTCATGGCTTCTAACCAAGATCAACCTTGAAAATATTTGATCGGTGTATGCAACCCGACCTGGAATGACCCTTTCTCCGGGATAAGATCTTTAGCGGAACAGAAGGGTATTAGAACATGTTCTTACCCTCTTTGGAAGAGATCCACATTATAGAACTTGTGGAGCTCCACAGAGAACTCCACTGTGGCCTGGACCTCCGTCATGCTGGATTCAGGGCTGGAGGAGGGCCTGTCTCAAACGATCGGCAGCAAAACTGCGGAAAAACAGATAAACGGATTGAACAGTTGTGTCATAACATGTGGAAGAACCAGAGAAGAAGTGGGAACATTTCTACACTGAAATATAACCAAAAAATGCTTTAAAATGAAATGTGTGAAAATATTTAAGAAAATATACACATACATGTGCAACCAAAGCAGATGCCTGTCAGCAGGACAGTAATCATCATGTTTTTACAGATAAACGGATTGAACAGTTGTGTCATAACATGTGGAAGAACCAGAGAAGAAGTGGGAACATTTATACACTGAAATATAACCAAAAAATGCTTTAAAATGAAATGTGTGAAAATATTTAAGAAAATATACACATACATGTGCAACCAAAGCAGATCCCTGTCAGCAAATGTAAGTATTGACTTGGTACCAAAGTACTAGAGCCCGACCGATATATCGTTTAGCTGATATTATCAGCCGATATGAGCCTGTTGCCGATATATCAGTATCGGCAAATATGCCGCCGATATGAATTTTTTTTTTACAGAAAATATAACGCAGATAAAATGCTTGAAATGGTGTAATTACTTAGTTTGTCCAGCAGAGCATGCTCCATTGTTTGCTACTGGCGACCTGGATGAAACTCTTTAAAGCTTAAGTCTATGGAAAACCATTGGAATTTTGAACGGCCATATCGCCGTAAAGGCGCGGCAAATCTGCACCAAATCCGGGGGATCCCATCAGCTCGAGGAACCCTCTCGAACACGAATAGAGTGTACGTCTCGAGGTCCTCTTTTGAATGAGACCACCCCCGTGTCGATAGCTTCTGGGGTTCCGGAGTTACGGGTTTAGCGCCGACCTATTAATGTTCAAAGGTAAAATGTTTCATGTTTTTAAAAGTCTCTTATGGCTGTATTTATTTGATCAGAAACACAGTAAAATACAGCAATATTGTGAAATATCACTACAATTTTAAATAGTTGTTTTATTTTTTTTATATATTTTAAAATGTAATTTATTTCTGTGACAGCAAAGCTGAATATCATTCTAATAAGCCGATTTGCTGCTCAAGAAACATTTCTTATTATCAATGTTGAAAACAGTTGTGCTGCTTAATATTTTTGTGGAAATCATGATACATTTTCAGGATTCTCTAAACAATGGAAAGTAAAAATAAATAAATAAATAAAGCCTTTATTTGAAAACTTCTGAACAGTAGTGCAAGTTCAGCGATAATCATAATTTAAAAAAACAGGTTTTAAATAAATATTATTTTTATTAATTTTTTGCATATACTAACTATACCTATGTAATGACTTAACACAAAAATTAACAATTTCTAAAATGCACAACTCACACTTTTAACAAATCTCACAAGAGAACAGAATCAGAAAGTGGCTTGTAAGATTACTGTTAAGAAGACAGAACAAAATGTTACAAAAGAAACCTCATGCACTTCCACTTCACTAAGCAACTCTGACCCAAGTTCATAAGACGAGTCTGACTACCTCTTGACATTTAAACCCCACAAATATAGCAATGGCATTCACGTCTATTCCTACAGTGTATTCTCAATGCTCTTCACCATAATATCTTTAAGCAGCGCTTATGCTTGTTTTGAATTACCACAGAATGCTTTCACACACCCCACAGGCTTTAAGAATGATTCACCCTTATTTGCAAGTCACAGTTACAGTAATGAGGTGTGATGTAAGATCCTGACAAGTCCAGCACACTTCAGACGGTTCGATGCAAATACCTCCACTAACGCTGGCTAGACTGCCCCGCTCTGGAGGATTTCTTGTGCTTTGTGGCATTATCAGGGGGTTTAGCTTTCATTAATACAGATTAGCTACCTTAAATGAGAGGCAAGCTGCAGTCGCCTATCACATGCAAACCACAAAGTCAAATCAGATCAACCACAGTAAGATTTTCCTTCCAAACATGTGTTAAGCTGGTGATAAGAGCACAAAAGCCCCGTCCCACTGTCTCAGCACTGCTTGCACAGATACGAATAACAGAAAACAGGCCTTATTTGTTTAAGGGCAGCCACTTTCCTTCCTCTGAGCAGTGCCTGTAAAAAATAAGTTATGATATCAATGTTGCCCTACTGCTTGGCATATGTTCATATCCTTGAATGCCCTACTGTTTTATGCTTTCTTCTGCTCACTCTCTCTCAGATTCAATGACACAAGAGTCAAGATCTGAAGTAACCATTCATTTCCTTCATAGAGAAACTGTTTTTAGCAATAACAAACATTTCGAGATCTACCATGAGCTTAGTATGCCATATGTTTCTGTACAATCCAAGTCTGTTATTTCATCCTAAATATTGTGCTTATCTGCCAAATTCTTAAGATCACAATTCATAGGAATAATTGATGTACACTCTACTGTACCTTTTTCAGACGTTTGGGTCTTCAAATCAAACGGCTTCATTTAATCTATGAGATTTCAGTTTTCAAGCAAGCAAAACAATGAGAGTTTAATGAAAGCTTTCATTTTTTCTCATATATTAGAATGCGTCCTGTTTGATTTTTAAAAACTTCTGAGCAAAAAATAATGACTATCATATATTTTACCATGACTTACAGAATTTTTTTTATTTATTTAGTGTAACAATATAACAAGAAATATTGTCAGGCATATTTAGAACAAGAATCATTAGATGACATTAAAAGGATCACAGTGCAGCCCCAAAAAAACTAGTTGCAATTTTAAATATGTATCAATCTTTGCTTTATTCTTCAAACAACTAACGTTAGGTTTTACCCATTTGTCAGTAAGAATTTGTGAGTCACTTGAAATATACTAAAATTTAGTATACAGGTCAGAATAAATATATTGTTTCGTTTTTATATAAATATATTTGTTAGACTAAATGAAGAGGGACCGTTATTTCACCCATACTTTGGCGTTTTATTTCACAAAATGTATATATAGCCTATACACACATTACATATTATTTTAAGTGATTTGAGAACATTATTAGTGTAAATGACTCACCCGTCCCGACTCGGTTTAGTATCTTCTCTTCTCATGTCAACTGATAAACACAACCCTATATAAAAAAGACATAAAAACATATGAAACACATATAAGCCTAACCAATAACAATTAAATAAAGTTTCTCAAATAACACATTCAAACACGCATTTGATTATATTTGATACTGCAACTAAACGTTACTACCCAATTTATTTTATTATGAATTACATTAACAAATACATTTAAACATGATGTGTTGACATAGCTTTTGGTTTTAATTCATGTCGTGTGGATTTACGTCCTAAAAGGCAGTTGGCTCTAGCGTTAGCCTGTTTTGCTTGTCAAATGACTAGCCTTCACAAACGTAACACTATTTGCCTAGGTTAACTGATGCGTTATCAAACCTACAATGGGAAACGCAAAAAACAGTTATAGTTATCAAATATCTGGCTGCTATATAATTAAAAAAAATACATACATGTATCCGCTTCGGGAATTTAGGCCTCAATCCGCGGATTGGATTTCTGAGCGATCCAGCCCTCGACGCTCCGATCACCCGGCTGCTTAATTCCTCGGCATGCCGTTGAAAATTCGCTTACGCTCCGTCTTCACAGCAGACTTAAAACAACAGATCGGTCAGACTGGATGGGGGAATGAATCACATCTCCATACGGTCAGCGGTGAGAGTCGTAGATCGTAAATATTGTCCAAACTTGTGTTTTGTGTGTTGTAAGCGTGAGTTTAAGGGAGGCGCTCACACAAGCCGGTACAACACCGATTCCTATCAAAGGCGTTAGTAGGCTATATGATTCCTGCCCTTATTATTTATTGAAAACGTTATTCACTCCCTTCCTTATTATAATGATTCACTTCAGACATTTTAGTTTTTTGAAGGTGCTGGAGAAGACAGCTATGTCGAATAAAGATAAATATTATATTAGAAACTATTATGCTATATTATTTACAAAACAAAACAAAACTATATATATATTGTTTTTTGGTCCCTTGCTGGTTCCTGGTTTAAAGTAGCCTAGTTATGGCACATTTCAGCTGACCAGACTAATAATGACCATACTGGAAGACCATAAACCATGCTTAGACTAGCAAACCATCACTGGTTGTTTATTGATTGATTGATTGATTGATTGATTGAAGACCTGAAACTCTTTTTTTCTATATCATTATATTGTTAAATAATAATAATTAGCCTTGGTGTTCTAAACAATAGATAAAACAGGATAACAAGAAACAAACCCAATGCATTTACCCAAAATATTTAAAGGGTATCAATATTATGTGCATTTCTTATTGTATATTAAGACTAAATCTGAAAGCATTTCTTTGCATGTGAATTTGAGTCTTTGTCCATTTTTAAACCATAGATAGGACACACACAAATATCAAAACAACAGTAATCATTATTGCATTACTTTAAAGGGGTCATATGATGCAATTTCAAATGTTCCTTTCTCTTTGGAGTGTTACAAGCTGTTCGTGCATGGAAAAGATCCCTAAAGTTGCAAAGACTAAAGTCTCAAACCCAAAGAGATATTCTTTATAAAAGTTAAGACTTGTCCACGCCCTCCTAAAACGCCTTGTTTAAATACGCCCCCACATGTCTACGTCACTGTGTGGGAAGATTTGCATAACACCGCCCAAATGTTCACGCAAAGAAAGAAGGCGTAACTTTTATTCTCGCTGTAGTATTGTTGTTGCCGCCGCCACCGCTGTGTGTTTCGTTGTGAAAGCGAAACTACTTTGTTTGGCCTTCCAAAAGAGGATTATATCCGCTTCGTCATGCCTGGAGCTGATCCGTGCTGGTCGCTGAGGAAATACATCAACTTCGCGCTTTGGATCGCCGGATCGGCTATCACCGTGGATGAAGTGGAGTCTAGCCCGGGGTCGTCACATGTGGTTGCCGTAATCCCGCCGGCCGCGCAGTTCTCAAGTCCGCTGGCCTCCGCTCACTCTAGCCCGCTGTGTGTTTCGTTGTGAAAGTGAAACTCCTTTGTTTGGCCTTCCAAAAGAGGACACAATTAGAAATCAGTGGTTAAGTTGTATTTACAACACTGTTCCAGAACAGTTCAACCCAAATATTCAGGTGTGTGCAGCACATTTTATGGAGGACTGTTTCCTGATCCTGGTAGAGTAGACTTCAATTCCGGCTGTTCTGACTCACAGCCTGTAAGTAAGTTTTCATATTTAAAGGATCTGCCATGTTTTTTTTTCAACTGGATTTTCACAATTAAAATTCAAAAAGCTAATCTGGTCTCAACCATTAGATGTTCATCAATAATTCTAAAAGTCCAAGATGTCACACTTTACCTTTGTTTAACATTAAAGGAACTAAAGGACCAGTTCCCTCCTCCAGGACTAATGAGTAGCAGCATCATGTTTGGGGTTGTCAGCTGTTCCTCACCTCACTGGACAGCTGCAGATCATGTTCAGTTAGTTGGTTTGGTGACATCTGGGTGGGCTCCTCAGATCAGATGCCTCATGTGTGAGACCAACATCTGTGAGAATCAGGAAAAATGATCTGGAGGTAATGCATAACATGCTTCTTCATTTTGTATGTATTGTATATTTCAAGAGGTTCATTCAAATGTATTCTTTAATTATAATTGGATACCTAAATGCACAATTTAATTTACATTATATTTATATATTTGATGCATACTAAAAAATATGTATTTCTCAATCACAAACAATTCATATACTTTCATTTTCTAGGGAAGTTTGTCTCTACCTTTTGTGTAATGTGATCAAACGATGCTTCTGCACTGGTCTTCATGCACACAGTAAGTACCTTCAAGATCAATGATTTAGAACTATAAGTGATTTTGGTGGGTTTCTGGTTTGGTATAAAATAAGAATTCAGAGCATTAAGATTTTAGCCAGACTTGGAAAAAAAAAGTGAAAACAATAAAATGCTTGAACTCAAAGGAGACAAAGGTGGCTCAGCTTTTCAAACACAGTGTTATTGTGTTGCTCACACAGTCAACACAGAACTCCCACAAGCAATGTGTGTTCATCAAACTCACAAACACAGGGAGGAGGAGTAAAGAAACAAAAGGAAAGACAAAGCAAAGCAATAAAAGTTGCAAAAAAGATTTCATTTGCTATTTAACAATAATGCAATTTTTTCCAGTCATGCCATTTTCCAGTATGAGTCACCTGCAGACGGACCAAACTCTGTGTCCTCAAACTAAAGATGGGAATGGCCTATTTCCAGGTAAACATCTCAAAAACAGTACATACATTTGGAATAACTATGTTGTTCTTTAACTTGAGTCTCTCTAATATCCCATAGGATTTTACATAATGACTCAGTTCAACATTGCCGAGTTGGCCAGGAGAGGGACGGTGAAGAAGGTGCCTGGAACGACATCTCAGCATATTGCATATAAGATTGGCCCCGAGTTCAACTTCAGGATAAACACCAGGTAAACACCTCTAACAGAGACCCTCCACCCGGGGGGGGGGGGGGGGACTAAAACTTATGCTCAAGAACAGTGAGATATCCCAAAATGGAAACTAGAAGCTGTTTTACCTGAATGGTGACCAGTTATGGAGATGTTAAACTGCTTTTGTGTGGTAGTGTTTGCATGATATATTAATTTTGGATAGAGCTATATTTGGAGTCTGCTTCCAAAAATATATGTATTGTTTTTTAAGAAAATCCAAGTAAATATTGCAAAAGGTTTAATTAATTTAAGGACTTGGAACAGCTTCAAGTGTGACTCCGAGTGTGATTTAGTTTCTTACAATAGTTCAATAGACAAGAAGTTCATTTATATACAATATTGCCAGTTACACTACAAAGTCAAAGAATAATCAATATGAGTGTCTCTGAACATCACAATTGCTTTCCTGAATTAATAAGTGTTGTTGAATGGATAAGCAAATTATTACTCACTCATAGACATTATATCAGCACGCTTTTAACACCTGCCTTGCTAATTAAATTTGAGAAATAGAACTGTTGTGGTAGACATGGAATAGTAAATAGAAATGAAAAAAAAAGACCTTTGGTGTGTCCAGGTTTACAGCACAGCCAGCAGCCAGAGTCTTTATATGACAGCTTATAAGACTCACCAAACTGACGGTTTAGTGCAGTGGTTCACAACCTTTTTAGCTCCAAGGCTTCTCATTGGAGTGGCAATACAGTAAAATAATTATATAAGATTGTAAGTAATTTAAATAATTAAATTCCATAATTCCAATAAATAAATGTCCTGCATGGTTTACATTATTACCAGTGACTTTACATGACTTTTCTAGTCTGTGATAACATTATTATTTACTCACACATCGTAAATGAGCTTGACTACATTTATATAAATACTTTAAAAATTGATATAAAAAGCTTTTTTATATTTATATAATTTTTTTTTTAAATGTCTTCAATCATCAATCATTGAAGTGAAGTGAAATGATCAATCATTTCCATTACTTTTCCTGGTCTGCAAACCAAAATTTTAAAAATTTCCCTAATATCCAGGTTTTCCAAGATCATAAGAACCCAGGAGCTTAAACATGGCTGTTGTTAAGGCAACAAATTAAATTAAGAAATATGATTCCAGTTCATATTTTAATTTTTGTTGTGTTAGCTAATTTTAAACCTGGTGTTGTCCTTAAATAATTTTAAGCCATCTTGTGGCTTCCGTGAAAGTGTGCTGAGGCCCCCTAGTGGGTATTGAGCCCCTGATTGAGAGCCCCTGTTCTATTGCTTTCCCCAGTGATATAGACTTAGTGCTTGCAATTTCCCCTTTATCAGAAAATCTCTAACCCAGTAACCAGGGCAACGCTTGAAAATGACTTGTACTGTTGACATGTGGCGACATCTACTGGTCATTGATGGAACTTCCTCTGTCCATGGTGCTGAATTACAAAACGAAATTATTTGCATAATTATTATTATTATATTTTAAATGCATTGATAACAAACCAATACAAAAAAATATTGCATCATTCCATGGAACATTGCAGCAGTATTTTTCAAATTTAAAATTTTTTGAAGATTGAGACAAAAATACTATGGTACATGATTACAATAATCATTCAGTGGCAGTGCCATGGTGTGGTATTACCATCTGATACCATTACAGTTTCATTAGAACCACTATAATTGTTTTTGTAGATAGTAACCATGCTAATAATGTTCAGCTTGGTATGTTTCCATGTCATCTAATTGTTGACTTCAATCAGTACAGTCGGATAAATCCAGATATAATTTCTGTTCATAATCTGGTCTAATTTAGTCTTGATATTGTTCCTTCAATCAGATCTGCATTTCCCACGGGGCTGCCTGAGGAATTTGCATTTTCTGCAGCCTATCGAATGAGTGGAAATACACAGAGTAAGAGTTGGAATTTGTGGCAAATGCAAGATCTGAATGGAAACGAACAGCTTGCAGTCAGACTCAACGGGGAGGCCCTGTCTGTGGAGTTCTCCTACAGAACCCAAGAGAACAGACAGATGATGGCTTTATTCCCTTACCAAGCCCTCCTCTTCAATTCTCAGTGGCACAAGATTTTATTGCTTGTCAAAAAAGGTTCTGTGAGCCTGATAACAGACTGTACAGCAACAGATTCACAGCAGCTGGCACCCAGAGGACAAGTAAACCTAGATGGATTCACGCATATTGGAAAACTGAAGGACAAATCAGCAATAGCTGTTCCGGTAAACCTTTCTTTCTTATCCATATTTACACATTTACAAATCTATTTATGTGTTTCCATAAGGCCTTTCATTACTGTTTTAGTACCCTGATATTTAAATGTTCCTCAAAGCCCTTTAAAATATGCAATATGTCCAA